TCTCAGCCATTCGTTCTCAAGGATTCTTTATTTCATCTAATCTCTGCTTCCACTCAAAGGTGGAAGTCTTAGTTTCAGTCCAGTGACTGTGGTTTGACCATTGATTTTAGACCTGAGAAAACCCAGACAGAGCAAGGTGTAGGCACTTGCCCTTGGCCCCCAGTGAGGTGTCAGAGCCAGGGTTAGGATGCCTGCTCCACCCACATCAGAGCCCAGGCCCTGCCCACTGGGTTGTGCTGTCTGTTATTACCATCTTTCTTGTCTTCTAGTAAAGTCATCAATACAAAATGCCAGTTTTTGGATTATACTCTATCATGAGTGCTTTTATAATCTATCATATCTTCATATTTACATATAGATACAGATTTGTATCATGTCATCTATAATCTGTTGTAAGTACACTGATGTTAGATTCTAATATACACTTATTTATTTATTTATTTTTAAAGATTTAATTTATTTATTTGAGAGAGCGAGCGAACAAGCATGAGTGGGGGTGGCAGGGAAGGCAGAGGGAGAAGGTGAAGCAGGTTCCTCACTGAACAAGGAGCCCAATGTGGGACTCGATCCCAGGACCCTGGGATCATGACCTGAGCCGAATGCAGATGCTGAACCCACTCAGTCACCCCTCTAATATTAATTTTTTTAAAAGATTTATTTATTTTTATTTGAGAGAGAGAGAGTGAAAGAACACTTGTGCGGGCAGGGGAGGGGCAGAAGGAAAGAGAATCCTCCATCAGATTCCCCACCAAACTCAGAGCCCAAAGCGGGGCTTGATCCCAGCACCCTGAGATCGTGACCCAGGCCAGAATCAAGAGTTGGATGCTCAAGCAACTGAGCCCCGCAGGCACCCTAGACTCTAACATTTAGATGGTGGCAATACCTTGGCCAGGTTTTAGAACGCATGACTCCAGAAGCTAGAAATTTATACGTTGACTTTTAGGTGAAAACCCTTGTGAGTTGTAGGTAACTATGAACAACACGTACTTGGGGCACACCCTCTGAAAAGTATCTGCCTCCCTTCACCTGCTGGTTTGTCAGACCGTGTCTGTCAGGTATACTACCGAAGGACACGCTTGGTGGCACTGAGAGGCGCTAACAGAAGATGCACGTGACCTCAACGTATCTGAAGCCTCATACTTCAGAGTATTCTATCGTAGAACTGAAATACCTTACACAGCAGAAGTCTGCTCAGAAGGACCTAGATGGGGTTCCAGAACAGTGCTCTCTGTATCACTGGATCGAAGACCCCCATGGTCAAACCCCTTCCTTTTTGATCTGAGCAGGGTAACTCCTCCACCCAGGACTCCTGAACGTGCCAAACGGATACTTGGGTGCTGTATGGGTATATAGCAGCTCCTGCCTGGGGTGAGGCTGCAAATCTGAAGATTACATGTATCTACTGATAAGAAAAATCGAATATAAGAAAGGTTTCGGAGTTCAAAAAAAAACCCCAACATGCTAAAAGATCCCGCTGTCCAAGTGAAATCCATCTTATGATGCTACATCTGTCTTCCTAAAGTAAATCTCTTCTTACTCTGGGATAAAATTGCAGAGACTGCAAAAACACATGTCTTTCAATCGCAATGTCACAGCCCAGTGGGTGAGATTTAAAAAAAAAAAAAATGGAGTTCTCATTAGATGCCACGGCAAGCCCCCCAGAGCCCACCAGACTGACAGTTCCCGCGGAACACAGCCAGCTACCCACAAGCTGAGGCACTATTTTGAAGCCTCCCGTCACTTTTCTATTTGAAGGTACAGGTTTGAGTGTGAGGTTCCAATACCTAAGTGAGAACATAAAGCAGTTTGAGTCTAACACCATCTGGAAAGCCTTGGGAGGTTCACATTATCTTCGCACCTGCCATGGAGAAGAAAAATCAGCTCTGATTTTTAGAAGGGACTGAAGTCATTTAGGTCTTGCTGAAACGACTCCCCCGGCAGCCCTGACAGAGCACACCATCATCCCGGCCATACCCTCTTCCCTCTTTAAATTCCCTTGCAAGAGACCAGTAGGAAGAAATCCAACCAGAAAAGTACCCTGTGAAGCTCCGCCCACGGCGCTCCTGCCGGCAATCCCCCCCCCCCCCAGTTGCTTAGGTAGCTACCGGGCCAACAAGACAACATACCTGCAAACTCATCCAGGGGAGTTACAGCCACTCTGTGCTCCAGGTGCAGAGAGGAGAGCCAGACCCTCTACAGTCACGCTCGCGAATCATCACCAGGAATCAGGGAAGAAAGCACAAATCTCCAACACCTTTCTCCCACTCCCATTACCAAACTGGGCCCTTGGGACTTGCAGTATTAAGCTCATTATGCAAACATTCTAAGCGCCATTGTTCTAGATGGCCAAAAAAAAAAAGAAAGAAAAGAATTACATGGATTCAATCCTTGCCCTGTGGTGTTTAGAATTTGCCCATCCTTCGTCCTGTACTTAGAGTTTTACACTGGCTGTATCTTTTAAGGATACATGTCATGAGAGGATTGCTGCATGGAACACTGGCCTTATTACACAATGAGTGAACTTAAGGAGAAAGGTATTTTATTTATAGCACTACTGTATCACCAGTTAATTTCCTTTTTTACCATGGCAACGCAAGGCGACACACACAAATTCTGCATTGGCGGAATTTCACCAATAAAACATATTTAGAATGTGGCTTTTGGGGGTGGAGGTTAGCTGATGCACTGTCTACCCAAAAGCAATACAAAGTCTTAACTGGAAGTTCCAGTCAAATGCATGATGGGGTCTACTAAGAAAAGAAGGGGAGATAACGTTTGGCTGCATTCAGGTGGGAGGGGCTTCATTTTTTTTCCCGGCTCACTTTAAACCAGGTGTATTCTCAACTGTAATCTTAAGGCTTGCCTCTTAGAGTAGGTAGTCAAACTACCCTGGCAGTCATGCATGCCATTTTCTTTTCTACTAGAATCTCTGAAGGCAGGCGAGGTTCTGCCTGCCCAGTGTGCAGTCTCTGTATGGTTACTTTGGGTGTGGGAGATTGTTGTATTATAACTGCTACATGTTCCTCCAACTCTAATAAAATCTTGAATAGCTTTGGGTTCAGAAGAGAAAACTATTGCATTGTTGCCAAAAGTAACAACAGTGTGGTGTCAGCACCTCCCAGAGAGTTACCCAAGTGCCGGCTGAATTTTGCCTATATTATAAAAACTCTGAGAAACAATATCATACATGTCTGTATTCTATTCCATCCACCCAGATGTAATTTACAGGGGATTTCATTGGTGGAAAATCAGCCCAAATTCAATTCTTTTGGGTTGCAAAAGAAGTGACATTTTCTTGCAAACAGCCCTAAATTTCCTCATTAGTTTATCCAAGTTTTTCCAACTTTAATAATTCCATGTCCTGCAGATCTTATTTTGGTTACAACTAACCTGAGTACACAAAGGTGCCAAGCAAGAAGGCATAAAAAAGAAAGTGCTTGTTTTATAACTAATGAATGGTTACAATGTTATTTGGAACTTGTGGGTGGATTCTTGGAATGTAAACACATTCGTTGGCTTCCATGGCACATCCTCTGTGTTTTATTTCCGACGTAGCCAGTGGCGACTTGCCCGTTTGGTATGTGAGATGCTCATATTATACTCAGCGCAGAGGGGCTAATTCTCGTGTGAGTAGATAAGCAAATCCTGCAACCACTATGAACATGTCCAAATTAAGGCACTAGGCTTGGACTGCTTTTTTAAACTACTAACTAAAACAGAGTTTGTGCCTTTTAAATACAGCGATACATTTTTCCTATGGTAGCTGAAAAGTGAAAATCTTAAAGACAAAAGCATTTCCGAGTCACCCCCTCACCCACAACTGAAGAATTTAAACTAAAGCAAAATGAAGAGATTTGAATAGAACTATTGAAAAATCCAAATGTCAAGTTATTAGCCTTTAATACGTGGGTTTATGAAATGTGATAATTTTTCAAAGCTGGATTTTCCATAAAACAGAATTTGTTCCTGAACATACAGGACAACTCTAAAAAGGACTAAGCGGAGAAAAGAAGCAGAATCGGACCCTTCGGCTACAGGCAAACACGCCAAGGCTGAGGGTCCAACAGCCCTCCCTGGTATCACATGAAAATGTTGTTGTTGCCTGTGTAAGTTCATAATTATTTCTTTACATAGAAAAAAGTAGTTTTTAACATTAACAAGTTTTGATGACAATCTTTTAAGAAATATGTGCTTTCTTGTCTCTTTAAACAAAATGGTAGCTATCATACATGGAAATGCACTTTAATATCAGGTTCTTGGGGCTACAGAAGGTGCCTCTCAGAGTGGTACTCTTGTCTGTCTAATTCACTAGCTATGAGAATTCAAGGCCGAACTGATAGTTGCCTGCAAAAGCTAGATAAACTAGTTAAAGGTGCAAATTTAATATTATTATTGTAATGCTAACCTAGGACGCTCAGCTCTTGGTACATCTTCACATCTGATGTGCGTGTTAACATGCAGGTATGTGTGTCTACGCATGAATGTTTATATGTATGTCTGTGTTTCCCCTCACTTCCTGGAAGCTCTTTCCTCCATTCAAAATATTCTCCATTTCTATATTCTAAATATTCTCTAAATATTCTAAATGGCATTTCCAGAAGTCTGACCACCTCCTGAATGAAGTACTGTCCTATCTTGGGCACAGGAGTAAATATACCAGTCAATGATGAAGACAAGTTGAAGTTCTCTTATTCCAGCCTTCAGTTTATCTATTATTCTTTACTTAACTTCCAAGCCCAACTCCAAATGTGGGGTGCCTCCATGTCCCCCATGAGGCTGTGCCCACTCTGCAGCATCCCGGTGACACCACAGCACTCGCACATGTAAACTCGCTCACCACAAAGCCTTCGCTTCAGACCTCACCGCACGCAGAGTGCCCCACGCACCTGCACCTGCAACGAGAAGCGTCTGAGCTGCTTTTTGATTACGATGACGTATCAGCATCTGTCGTGATGCAGCCAAATCTGTAGGTTCATCTGCATTTCCCTCTTCCCTTCCAGGTGGGCAGCATGCTGAAGACCCCCAAATTACCTATTTGGCTGTGCAATATCAATGGAAACCCCGGTGTTCTTTTCAGCACAAACAAGCAGCTCTTATCAGACTGGAGAGCCGAGCGTCGCTTTGATCTGTACCTGTACGGTGGTCGCCCCCCGCAGAAGAAGCCCGTGCATCTCACAGTAGGTGAGCATTTCAGACTCCCAAGTGCTGAGCCCCTTTAGGGCGCTCAGAAAGACGCGGTGATGGTGTTTCGCCGCTGTGTGGGTGTCCATGCTCGCCTTGCAGGAAGACGCTTGGGCTTGAGTTCTGAAATGAAACCCACGCACGAGTCCCATGGGTCTAAACCCAAGGAGGGCACCCGGGGCAGTCTGCAGCTGCCTTAAATAAGAGCGGCGGGTTTAGATGTAGCACTGAGGAACAAACAACTTCTAGGTGGGAGAAACAACAAAAGAGAAAGAATCCCATCCGCAAAAAGCCCTCTCGAGGACCTTTTACCTGTGAGCACCGGGCACGTTAGTTAGTTCCAGTGCTGAGGGGAAGCACTGGAAGAATGGATGGACCGGGGCAGGGGGTGTTCCAATGGTCAATTCCATCCTACAACTGATCAGATGACCATTCAGTGACGTAACTCAGCAAACTGAGAGTGCATTTCTCTTCAGATATTAGAGGGCCTGCTAAGGGCCAGGCACTGAGCTAGACGGCTGCGAAAGCCATGATAACAAGGCATAGTCCCAGCAAAATGTAAGAGGTTCCGGTCCACTGGGAGAAGCAGACAACCACACAGGTCATTTTATTTCAGTTACAACCATATTCATTTAAACCCATAAGGAAAAAAAGCTAAACTTTAACTGTCTCTAAACTTGTAATGTCTTTGAGTCCTGGCCTTTTGGACAAGGGAATAAACACGATGAGACTGGGCATCTGTCATGGGTATCTTGGTCCTACCGGTGGAGGCTCGATGTTTGACTTGGCCTTTAGCATCACAGGCCTGGTGTTCAACAACTTTTCATGATAATGACTGAATCTGGAAAATTATCTTAATGACTCTTTTATCTATGCAAGTTTTAATTCTTCTTTAATTATGGAAGATACATATTAGCCCATTTAATTTAGGGGGACATTGACAATATGTTCCTTAAAATATTGTTCCTACTTTACTGTCTTTTTGAGGAAAGCATCATTTTTAAAAAGATTTTATTTATTTATTTATTTGAGAGAGAGAGAGAGAAAGAGAGCATGCATGCACATGCTCAAGCATGGGGGGAGGGGCAGAGGGAGAAGGAGAGAGAGAATCCCAAGCAGACTCTGAGCTTAGGACAGAGCCCGATGTGGAGTTCGATCCCAAGACCCTGAGATCATGGCCTGAGCCAAAACTGAGTCTGATGGTTAACGAACAGAGCCACCCAGGTGCCCCAGAAAACATGTTTGTATTAACTCACAGGCATTGCAAGAATTCTGTTCTGGGCACTGTATTGGAAACTGTACACATAATCCCAGTAAATTCTCCCAGCAATCATATGAGGTAGATACTATGATATCTATTTTCACATAGAAGACACTGAGGTAACCAATAAACAGTTGCTAACTGAATAAATGAGGCTGAGAGATGTTAAGTACCTTCTCAAATGGCATATGAGACAAAACTGGTTCTCTCTCTCTCTCTTTTTTAAAAGATTTTATTTATTTGAAAGAGACAGAGAACACAAGCAAGATGAGGGGCAGAGGTAAAAGCAGATGCCCCCCTGAGCAGGGAGCCCAATGCGGGGCTTGATCCCACGACTCCAGGATCATGACCTGGGCCAAAGGCAGACGCTTAACCAACAGAGCCACCTGGGTACCTAAGACAAAGCTGGTTCTTGAGCCCTGTTCTTGAGCACCTCACTAAACTACCTCACCCTTCACACAAAAATGTAAATGTACTCTTAGATGCATTGAGAAGTGATGAGCTCTCCTTCCTCCTGGTTTTCCTGATAACTTCCTGTAGCCTACACTTGGCTCTATGTGTCACATCATGGTGCTGGAATGTGCATCACATGATATATCAATATTCATGTTTCAAAATACACAAGCACCCATGCTACCACAGACTTGTTCTGTATAGGGCATTTCTACACACCATCTACTGGAATCTCCCTCTGCTTAACCAATTCTAGGAACACAGTTCACTGAGCCCAATTCCTGCCCACCCATCGTGTTTTTCTTCCTTCCTGGCTTCCTCTGGAATGGTGTATACAGGCAAGGGCCTAAATGCTGGCCATTTGGGGTGCCTGGGTGGCTCAGTTAGGCGTCTGACTTTGACTCAGGTTCTGATACCAAGGTCCTGAGATGAAGCCCCAGGTCGGCTCCCTGCTCAGCGGGGAGCCTGTTTCTCCCTCCCCCTCTGTCCCTCCCCCAGCTCTCTCTCTCTCTCTCTCTCTCTCAAACAAATAAATAAAATCTTTTTTTTTTTTTTAAATGCGGCTGTTCCTCACTCAGATACTCACTCCCATCACTGGGAAAGGAACCAACATGAAGAGGAACATGTACCAAGAAGACGGTTTTCTCCAGTGGAGATGGCAATCAGAACCAAGTGGAGCGAAGCCACCATCAACTGGCATGGAACTGCTCCCTTTCTCTAAAGAGAGAGCCAGGATGTGCAGTGATTTCTGAAGTGTCGAGCTGCTGGGCACAAAGGCTCATATGGGGGTAGACCCTTTACTTCTACATTCCTCATTCATGAACCCCAATGAAAAACGCCACTTTTTCTTTTTGCACCCCACCCCTTTTTTTTGGTCTTTGCGAAGCCCTCTGCTGCTGTTATTGGTGCTGCTGAAGAAACATAGGCCCTTCCAGCAGGGGCCGCAAAGTGTATCCCTTCCTTTTTATTCAATAGAGCAAATGAAGTGTCTTTCTTGACTGTTGTTTTCAATCAGTCTTTTCTTGGTGTGATTCTCCCTGAGGATGATGGACGCAGGCAGCTAGCTTTCATCTGGGGATGAAGTCATCAGTGATGCATCATCAGATTTTTAGTTATGGCAAGAACTCAAGCCTTCTCAAAGACTTCCCGGTATGGAGAGCATTCCTTTCCAAGGTTACATTTCACATGCCCACATTAGCAGGTTCTGGTCATTAAAATAGTAAATGGGCTTCTTTGGGCTTGGGGCAGGGACTATTCCTGGTAGTGTGGCAACGATAGTCGTCGGCTTATGGGTTCAAGACAAGGCGAGCACACAGGAGGAGACATTCCTTCTACCAGTGCTATGTTTGTTTCTTGTCTTTATAAGCTGAATATAAATACATAGGCAGACAAACAGATAAACTGAGAAAGAAGTCTTATTCCTAGGTAAAATAAAATTATATATAAAAGTAGATTCTCTTCTTACGTCATTGTTTAAAGGGAAACAATCCTTTTTAGAATGTAATCTTTCCCAGTCCTATTGAATGCCTACACTTTTTCTGAAGAAATACACAGAGTAAGACACCTATTCTTTCTTTTAAAAGTACACGGAAACCATTTTAGACCTTTTTCCAAACCCACTCCACTGATCTGCCAACTCTCAGACTTAGGGCTCTGTATTCACAAGCCAAAGGTTAGATGGCGAAGAACACCTTTTCCGAGCCCATTGTCCAAATTAATTTGTGAAATGCATTTTCATTTGGCTCAAAGAATAATGTTTTAACTTAAGGAGCATGTAGAAAATGAAACTTCAAGGTGAATAATAAATTATGTCAAAAAAGAAAGCCAAGTTGGCTTGGATTGCTGATTACGGTATCTTTATTACTTTGATGTTCTCATGCGGGATTTGAAAGCCATTGGATAAATACGCAGATCCTTCTTGACCCTTGTTTTATTTGGTATTAGTCTTAGCAATATGGTGCTTTTCCTGAGGTGCAGGCCTGTTTTTTGTTTTATGGATACCGAGTCATTTCTAACCAAATGTGCCTGTTGGAGCGGACTGCTGGTAAGTGTAGGGACAATGAGAGACAACAGCACGTGCTTCAGGGAGAACGTTCCCAGCCACGATTAAGAGATTTCACTCAAAATGTCTCAATAAGGACATGCTTTTCCAACAAGAATGGTCCAACAAGGGATCCATGACTCTCTTAGGTCAATCATGATTCATTTCCTAGGGCTGAGGGCAGGACACTTGTTACCAGAACAAAATCGGGGCTCTGCAGAAGGAAGAAGGTTGAGATGACTGTAGTGTAGACAACTGGTCTGTCATCCTGACAAAAGGCATTTTTAATTGGCCTCATTTCTGAGTCTATTTTTGGTCCCTACCCTATTTTTCCTTTGAATTTCTAATTTATTTATAATTTGTGTTACTTTGCCATATTTTATGTGTTGTAACTTGTCTTAAATTACTCCTGGAACAAATCTATAAATAAGTAAAATAATAAAGATTAAGAACCTATGTTTTATATATAAAGGTATAATAATTTTGATATATATAAAGGTATTAATCACTTTTCATGTCAATGTTGGAAAATGAGTTTTTATTGTGTCTTATTAGCAGGGAAGCCAGTAATTTTTTTTGAAAGGTGGAAACATGTTATTTAAAAGGAGCTAGAAATGTCCTGGGATAATCAGATCACCTCTGAACTTTCTGTGTTTTGAGAAAAATGACTTCAATTGTCCTATCAGCTGCTGCTCCTGCTTCTTCTTCTTCTTCTTCTTCTTCTTTTTAATTTTAGGTATATTTATTTATTTTAGAGAGAGAGGGAGAAAGAGCACAAGGTGGGGGCCAGAGGGAGAGAGAGAGAATCTCAAGCAGACGCCCTGCTGAGCGTGGAGCCCAGCGCAGGGCTGGATCTCACAACCCTGAGATCACAGCCTGAGCCAAAACCAAACTTAACCAACTGCACCACCCAGGTGCACCATGTCCTGTCAGCTTCTTAATCAGTCAGGAAAAAGTTATTTGCTTGAATACAGAAGTGAGTAATTTTTCTGAATAGTTATGTAAACTAACTGTATCCATAGTGGGACAATGTCCTTGAGGAGATGGCAAATACTTTTTTCTCCTCAGTATTGGCTTGGACTCTATGTCCCTCAAAATTATTGTCTGTTCTTAGAGAAGACGCGCGTATGACTTTTTTGAGTACATGTTCACCACAGTGGCAAGACAAGGTGGGAGCTGGCCCGGGGCAGGCAGCCTGAGAGTCCCTTCCCCCACACTGGCAGGGTTTGGCATTGGGTTCACCAGGTATGTGCAACCTGCAGTCATACCTGGACCTGATTTTATTTACAAATAAGTAACACAAACTGTTGACTGTTGTAATTGCCTTTTCAGTGCCTTGGAGACACAATTGTTCGTTCATTTACTCAGGGAACTTTTTTAACATTCCCCATGTGCCAGGCGCTCTGCTGGGTGCTGGAGAAATATGGTGAGCACAGTCAGCCGTGGGCCCTCTTCTCTCATGGAGCTTAGGCTCTTCTGAGGAGATGGCATTAATCAGAACACCACTTTAATGAATATAAACTTGAAAACTGAGATAAGCTGTCAGAGGGAGGGGATTTCCAATGCATAGTATCTTAGAATAAAGGCCTGGAAGTCCAGGGAAAGGTTTCTCTGCAAACAGATGGTTAAGCTGAGGTAGGAAGCTAAGTAGAAAAACCAGGAGGGTCATAGAGGGATGAGCAGGGGCAGAGCCCTGAGGTGGCAGTGCTTAGGGACCAGAGAAGCCAGTGGGGCTGAGGTGCAGAGGGCAAGGTGGAGAGTGGCTGGGAAGCAGCTTGTGGTGGGGGAGGGAAGGACTGACCACAGGACAACCTTGGAAGGTTTTAAGTGACCTGGTAAGATTTGCATTTTGAAAAAAAAATGCCTCAGTGTGGAGAACGTGCTATAGAGAGCCTGGAGGGGATGTAGAGACAAGTTAGGAGACTATAGCTGTGGTACAGGGAAGAGATGGCCAGAAAAAGCAGTGGCAATAAAAGCAGACCAAAGTGGGCCACTCGGGAGCTACCTATCAGTAAAACAGACCAGACCAAGAGATTGGCTGGGGAGGGAAGGCTCAAGGGTAGGGAGAGGGGGGAGGGGAGGGGGAGGGAGGACTCAAGCATGACTTCCAAGTTTCTGATTTGAAAAATGGTGGAAGTTTTTGGGACTCCACTGAATTTGGAAACACTAAAAGAATGGCCGATGTAGAAAGGAGGAAATCCCAAATTCAGTCTTGGAGGGAACATTCACGTGGAGAGGAGGAACAGGGGATTAGAAAGGGGGACCTGGCACTCAGAGGAGAGGCTTGGACCAGAGAACTACATCTGGGAGTCTTGATGGGAAGGAGCATGAGGGTCTGGAATAAATGTGCCTAAAGGAGAGTAGGAAACAAGAGGCTTGGACCAGAGAACTACATCTGGGAGTCTTGATGGGAAGGGGCATGAGGGTCTGGAATAAATGTGCCTAAAGGAGAGTAGGAAACAAGAAGAGGGCTGGGGCTCCAACTGAACCCTGAGGAATTCCAGGGTCAGCAGTCAAGTCAGGTGTGATGAGCCTGGGAAAGAGGCAGAGAAGGAGCAAACAGGTACAAGAGGCAGCCGGCCAGTGATACCTAAATAAAAGGTATTTTCAGTCAATGACTCTTGATGTTAAAGTCAACCAGAGGGGATCAAGTCTGAATAAATCCGGACTGTTACTTTCAGGATAGCAGTTCAACTTTAATTCTGTAGAATGTAGTCATACCCAATCTCCTTCCCAGAAGGACTTAGAATGGCTGACAACTGGTGAGTCTCTTCGAGAACTTTGTGTCTTTTTTCTGTTACTGAAGCTCATGAGAAAACTTCTCACTACTGTCCACAAGGTGGTGCTATGAGAGGGACTTTTTCAATCCCATGATCAAATCTAATTATCAAGTGAACGTGGATGATTCAGTCACACACACAAAACCCCAGTAAATAATTATAAAATTGATGTAAGGGTTATTCAATCTTTGTGATACTTGGAACTGGTATCTCTAAGCATGGTGAGCGGAAGTATTCTAACCTAGGGGTCTTCCTTTCTCTCCTGCTCCATTGGGGGCAGCAAGAACTATAAATGTTAACTTCAAAATAGCCCCACATGCACCACCCCCTTCCTGGCACGGGCACCCCCTGGCTCTCTGCTGGACTATTACAATAGCCACCCAAGTGTTCCCCTTACTTCTCTCTTATCCCCTTCCGGTCCTTTTTCAACACAGCAACCAGTCCTCTTTCTAATACTGGAATCTGACCATATTGTAACAATTCATATTGCTGTTATGAATTCATTGTCATGTAATGAGGACAAAATACCAAAATCTTAACATGATCTACAAGAGCCTGTAGGATTCAGCTCCTGATTCATCTCATGCCATTTTCCTTCTCATCACCATACTCCACCTAAGCCACACTCACCCCCCACTTCAGGGGCTTTGCCTGTACTCTTCTCTCTGGCCACAACGATCTTCACTCTTGCTCTTCAGATCTCTGCTGGAAACCACTTCTTCAGAGGTTCCTTCTCTGATGTCACCCTCCTTCCAATAGCTCCCCTGGTTCACTTCTCTTAGCATCCTAATCTTTATACCATTTGCCACGATTTACAATGACAAGCTTATTTATAAGCTCATGTGTTAAATGCCTGCTGCCCCTAGACCAGTGGTTCTTAAGCTCTTTGATCTCAGTACA